GCTTAATAGGACACTAAGGCAGTCTTAGGGCAAGTAAGTATGGACTTGATGGAGTCATTGTGGGCTCCCAAAATGATCAGGAAAAAAGTACAGCACTGTGATGAGTTTTGGGGAAAACTAACTGAAACACAGTCTTAATTGTCTCGTATTTTCTGTGACAATATCCTTTTTGGATACCACTTGCAAGATCCCTGGGGCAAGATCATTTCCAATTTTGGCATGGAGTGGTGTTTGCCTTGGGAGGTTGAGGATGCTGCCACAGGACATTTAACAAACAGTGATAAAAATAGCATTGTGACATGATTGCCACCAGGGATTATCGAGGCATTTCTCATGGGRTATCACAGGTATACGTTCCATGCCCTCCCCCTTTTCCTGTTTATTCAAGAGGATTTTCACCTCTGCGGTCTCTGGGATGCAGGTCCCAGATGGCACTCTGACAAACACGCAGCTGTTGGGTGGGGGGAGTGGGTTTGAAGTCAGACAATCACTTCATTAAAAATATAAATGAAAAAAAATCAGTTAATGAATACTTCTGGGGAAAATGAAGGATTTTTACATTAGTGATTAAGATTAGGAGCAAAACAGGGGAAAACCTTGCCCCTTGTGCTCCTGCAAAGAATACTGCAGCTAAGGAGCAAACTGGAAGCTGTTTCCAKGGGTGAATCTCACAGGAAAATCTGCACACTCTTCAGGAGTTTCTGTGTGACAGAGACCACAGTGACAGGTCTAAAATCACCACAGGATGAACCCTGTGGTCAGAGGAAACCCAGCAATGCAGGTGACAGGTCTGGAGATGCAGAGCTTGTCTTCGAGTCCATTGTGTAACCTAAGAGTCCAACACSTCACAGTCCTACGTACATTTATCCTCACAGCCAGGGACAAGTTTTAGGCTATAAACAAGCAAGATSTTCAGAGAAACTTGGGAACTTTCAGTACACCTGTCTTGAACCTAAGGTGGATGCAGACATCACTCAGAATCCAGGTACTATTGGGAGCAGGGACTTG